GAGTACGGCGTCGCCAGGGGGGGGGGGAAATGGAACAATAACAATGAGTACGGCGTCGCCAGGGGGGGGGAAGTGGAACAATAACAATGAGTACGGCGTCGTCGCCAGGGGGGGGGGAGTGGAACAATAACATGAGTACGGCGTCGCCAGGGGGGGGAAGTGGAACAATAACAATGAGTACGGCGTCGCCAGGGGGGGGGGGGGGGAAGTGGAACAATAACAATGAGTACGGCGTCGCCAGGGGGGGGGGGGGGGGAAGTGGAACTACTAATAACCAAAAAAATTGCAAATGTAACGGGTTCTAACCCAATAGGTCTAACAAAACACATCTAACAGGTGTTAGAATCGCATCAAATGCAACTGATGTGAATTGCAACTTGAGGAACCATCTAGTCTAAGGGAGGCGCCACGTACCTACAGACACAGAGTGCCATTCTGAGTGCCAGCTCCAAGTTGGCCTCCTTCAGGTGCTTGTACAGGTCCTGTATGGCACTCCTGCAGGCGTCCTGGTGGCAGTAGGAGGCACAGTGCCCAGTCACGGCCTTCAGGTGGCTGTCAACGGCGCCAAACCAAAAGGAAAATGGCTGAAGATGTTGATAATTCTGTATATATATATATATATATATGCATTTTAATTCGCAATTGAAATTATACAAGTTTAGTCCTGGGACGCGTGTCCTCAACCCACAGTGTGTCCCCCAGGTCCTCAACCCACAGTGTGTCCCCCAGGTCCTTAACCCACAGTGTGTCCCCCAGGTCCTCAACCCACAGTGTGTCCCCCCAGGTCCTCAACCCACAGTGTGTCCCCCAGGTCCTCAACCCACAGTGTGTCCCCCAGGTCCTCAACCCACAGTGTGTCCCCCAGGTCCTCAACCCACAGTGTGTCCCCCAGGTCCTCAACCCACAGTGTGTCCCCCAGGTCCTCAACCCACAGTGTGTCCCCCAGGTCCTCAACCCACAGTGTGTCCCCCCAGGTCCTTAACCCACAGTGTGTCCCCCAGGTCCTCAACCCACAGTGTGTCCCCCAGGTCCTCAACCCACAGTGTGTCCCCAGGTCCTTAACCCACAGTGTGTCCCCCAGGTCCTCAACCCACAGTGTGTCCCCCAGGTCCTCAACCCACAGTGTGTCCCCCAGGTCCTCAACCCACAGTGTGTCCCCCCAGGTCCTCAACCCACAGTGTGTCCCCCAGGTCCTCAACCCACAGTGTGTCCCCCAGGTCCTCAACCCACAGTGTGTCCCCCAGGTCCTCAACCCACAGTGTGTCCCCCAGGTCCTCAACCCACAGTGTGTCCCCTAGGTCCTTAACCCACAGTGTGTCCCCCAGGTCCTCAACCCACAGTGTGTCCCCCAGGTCCTCAACCCACAGTGTGTCCCCCAGGTCCTCAACCCACAGTGTGTCCCCCAGGTCCTCAACCCACAGTGTGTCCCCCAGGTCCTCAACCCACAGTGTGTCCCCCAGGTCCTCAACCCACAGTGTGTCCCCCAGGTCCTCAACCCACAGTGTGTCCTAGGACGCGCGTCTACACCCCACAGTGGGTCCTAGGACGCGCGCTTACAACCCACAGTGGGTCCTAGGACGCGCGCTTACACCCCACAGTGGGTCCTAGGACGCGCGTCTACAACCCACAGTCACAATAGGAGCGCCACCCCCCACAGTGGGGGGCATGACAGGGGAGACTTACCTAGAGCAGCCGTCGTCAGCCTGACAGTCAGTGAGGGCGACGTGACAGGTGCCAACTATCTGTCTCACCTGTACAAGGGACACGTCCTCGTCTGTCTCTGCGGGCAGGGGGGGAAGTGGAACAATAATAATAAGTACAGCGTCGGCAGGGGGGGAAGTGGATCAATAACAATGAGTACAGCGTCGGCAGGGGGGGAAGTGGAACAATAATAATGAGTACAGCGTCGGCAGGGGGGAAGTGGAACAATAACAATGAGTACAAAGCGTCGGCAGGGGGGGAAGTGGAACAATAATAATGAGTACAGCGCGTCGGCAGGGGGGAAGTGGAACAATAACAATGAGTACAAGCGTCGGCAGGGGGGAAGTGGAACAATATAATGAGTACAGCGTCGGCAGGGGGAAGTGGAACAATAATAATGAGTACAGCGTCGGCAGGGGGGGAAGTGAACAATAATAATGAGTACAGCGTCGGCAGGGGGGAAGTGGAACAATAACAATGAGTACAGCGTCGGCAGGGGGGGAAGTGGAACAATAATAATGAGTACAGCGTCGGCAGGGGGGAAGTGGAACAATAATAATGAGTACAGCGTCGGCAGGGGGGGAAGTGGAACAATAATAATGAGTACAGCGTCGGCAGGGGGGAAGTGGAACAATAATAATGAGTACAGCGTCGGCAGGGGGGAAGTGGAACATAATAATGAGTACAGCGTCGGCAGGGGGGAAGTGGCGTCGGCAGGGGGGGAAGTGGAACAATAACATGAGTACACACAGCGTCGGCAGGGGGGAAGTGGAACATAATAATGAGTACAAGGCGTCGGCAGGGGGGGAAGTGGAACAATAATAATGAGTACATAGCGTCGGCAGGGGGGGAAGTGGAACATAATAATGAGTACAACAGCGTCGGCTGCAGGGGGAAGTGGAACAATAATAATGAGTACAGGGGGGGAAGTGGAACGTACAAGCGTCGGCAGGGGGGGAAG